TGGGTCACAGCAACCACTTACCATCAGGTGGACTGTGTGCTCGTTTGTCACCCTTATTCTATAAAAAAAAAACCTTATTCTAAAATGTCATAAATCCCTACCGTTTAATGAATCCCTTCAAAAAAAAAGAGACTAATATTGTGTCCCCTACACCTCTTGTTCGTACTGTCTTTGTTAGTAGACAGCACCCATGTCAGTCTGCTTTTATATTTATACCTATACATATAATAAATCTGTAGAAAAGCCGCGTCTGTAATTCTAGTATTTTCTGGAGAAAAACAAGGCCACGGGACTAAATAAAGGGCACTGAAGCCAAATTAGTGGTTTTTAGAATTTTGGTCTCTGTCAGTGTATTCCCGATTCACACAAAAACTACTGAACAGATTTCCATGACATTTTGTGTGTATGTAGTTAGGGATCCGGGGCAACTTATACGCTATTTTTTATTCGATTATCGAACTTCAAAAAGGCAGGGTTAATAATTTTTCTTCTTTTAGTCGTTAATTTCTATTTTATATGATATATTGATGTATTTTTTTAAATAAATAACATATTTGTAAATAAATCCTATTTAGATTTAACCGTTGCGTAATAAATCTAATGTTAAATATAGATAAAAAGTAGTAACCGTTTACCTCCAGTCACTAAAAAATAAATAATATAAATACCTTACATTTATATGTTTAAATAATTTAATACATAATGATTTTAAAATTCTAACGTTCAATTTTTAGTTCTTTCGTTATTTCATTTTAGTAGAAAAAATAAAATTTTATAAGTAGTACCTAATTGCTACTTAAATAGATAATAGTGACATCTATCGAAACGAATAAAATCTAAAATGTTTCTTAGTTTAATTTCTAATCTATAAAAAAGTTATTAGTACGTATTAGTATTTTTTTTATCGATAAATTAACCGATAAAAAGTACAGGTATTACAAAACTCTTATTATTTATCCTTATAGTTTTAATAAAGAGCTTTTTATATATTATGTATTGGTCAGATCTGAGAATTAATAATATCGTGAATTAGTCTATCATTGCGTGAAATGGTGGTAGGTATTTCATAAAATATAACAGTGTTTGTTGACTATATCATGATATAGCTGTGATCGTTTGGCTATACTTACTAAACAGAACATTGCTATTTCTAGATTTTGCCTTATCGTAAAACTATTTCATTACATACCGCTGATAGTAAATTTTTAACAGAACTAAAATTTTTAATAGAATCTACATAACTTTATGACTAATTTACGTTTTATAATATGCGGCTTTGTTGTGCGACTAATCCACTCCAGTCCCACTTCAACTTATTGACTGAGTACTAGAGGGTACAGTTTTAGTTTTCATGGTTTTAATATCATAATAACGCTATCTACTTACTACTAAATACTATTATAACTAACTATAAGTAACTGATCAAATTATAGACAATTCTATTAAACACGTATTGATGTAGCATCAAAAAATGTCAGACTTACCGGTGGCCACTGTCCGGATAAAAGTAACTCACACTTCTGGTAGCTCAGATGGTTAGCGCTCACTGTAAATTTAACAGCAACCGGGTTCGATCCCCACCGGCACCACTGAAATTGTTAATGGCAATTTTAAGTGCTGATTTGCCACGTGTCCGACGGCGACGGAAAACATCGTGAAGAAACCTGAATGTCTGAGAAATAAGAAAAAAAATATTTCGAAGACATGTGGAGTTCGCTAACACACTCTGGGGCAACGGGGCGAACACTTCCTTGCCCTAAAACGCTTTCAGAAATGAAAGGAGGCCTGTGCTCAGCAGTGGGACGTAAATAGGCTGTAACTTTAACTTTAAATACGAGAGCCGTGTTCGCCGTAAAATTCAATAAAAGACCAATGAAACTGGTAAGGACATTTTATTTTCTTATTGTCCACGTGCTCAAAGAAATGGTGAAGAATAACTTTGAGAAGAAACTTTGATGTCTGAGCAGTTTTAAAATTAGGGAAATTTAAAATTTCTTGGACATGTGAAAACCGCTATTCGCACTATGGGTAATTAGGAGCCCTGTACATAGTACTTAGACGTATGTAAGCTGCTTCTTTATTTTTATAATTTTAATGAGACTTTTATAACAGTTTGTCACATATTAAGATTGCTTTTATATTTTCAAACATACCTTTTAAAAAATTTGTGACAGTCCCGGTTTCATAGCTCATATGAGTAAAAGAACACAGGTTTTTGCGTGAAGTACATAAATATCAAAGGAAGCAAATTTTAAACACAGGTTTATTTTTATTTTTACTATGAGTCAAAGTCATCTGTAAAAGCCGGTAATCGAACCGATCCAAACGTAAATGTCATAGTACTTACGTAAGCAACGAAAATTTACACCACTCATATTTTAATTGCAATTTGAAGTATTTACCACGTTCTCGGTAGTGAAAGGAAAACATCGCGAGGAAACCGGCATATCTGAGAAGTTACAAAAATATTAATTTTTAGGTAAATGATAAGTCGATTACCCCGCGTTGGAGTCAACTCAATCAACTCCTTTTTCTCCTAAAACTCGGTGCGGTCTGTTCTCAGTAGTGAGATGTATGTAGACTGCTACTTTTTTACTTTTTTTAGAATGGAATAGAATAGAATAGAATAATTTTTTATTCAATATTGATTTATTGATACCACTGGTTCGGAAAATACCTCTGTCCTGGGAAGAACCAGCAAGAAACCCAGCGGGACTTTTTTTTAAACATATTTCACTTATCAATAATTTCGTTTAGGTATACAATTTTTAAATTAGTTTTCATAGAACCAGCATGGTGGCGATCACCTTATTCCCAGGGGTTATTTTTATTCATGTATTCCTTGATATTATAATAACTCTTTTTGTACAGTTTTTCTTTAATAAAACTTTTAACCTTGTTTATTGACAAACTTTGAATATGTTCTGGGATTTTGTTCTAAAAGTTTGCCAAACAATTTGTAAAACATTGCCCCATAAATGAATTACTGATTCTGTGGAGTCTAGTAACTGGTATTACAAGCTTATGTTTGTTCCTAGTATTTAAAGTATGCACATCCTTATTCTTACTAAAGCTATTTATGTTTTTATGTACATACATTACATTTTCATAAATATATTGCGATGCCAAAGTTAATATGTTTATTTCATAATATTTTTGTTTGTGGGACTCTTTACAATTTAGGTTATAAATCGCCCGAACGGCTCTCTTTTGCAAAACAAATATAGCTTCAATATCAGTGGCATTACCCCATAGCAAAATTCGCTACGCTATGAAAGTAACTAAAATACACTAATCTAGCTGTCTCAACATCTGTGAGACATCTAATCTTTCTTACAGCATATGCTGCAGAACTAACTCTGCTTGCTAATTTAGATATATGGGTTCCCCATTGAAGTTTCGCGTCAATAGTAATACCGAGGAAAACAGTGGTATCCACAAGACTCAACTCTTCCCCATTTAACAGCACATACGTATTCGAATGTTTTACATTAGGTATTGTAAATTTAATACACTTTGTCTTATTGCTGTTTAAGAGCATATTGTTAGCGTTAAACCAATGTACTACTTTCGATAGAGCATTATTTATATCGTCATATTTAATTAACTGCCGTTTGAGTTTGAAAATTAAAGAGGTATCGTCAGCAAATAATACTATATCGTGATTGTCCCCTACAAGATAAGGTAAGTCATTAATATAGATTAAAAACAGGAATGGGCCAAGAATCGAGCCCTGAGGAACGCCCATTGATACTACCGATCCGGAAGAACCTTTACTATTGATCACGACTTTTTGAGTTCTGTTACTTAAATATGAAGTAATAAGTCTAAGCGCCAATTTTTTTACACCATAATGTTGTTTTTTCCTGATAATTGTCTCATGATGTACACAATCGAAAGCCTTGAAAAGATCACAGAAAATACCTAAGGCATCTTGTGAATTCTCCTAGGCATTAAAAACATATTTCATAAGCTCAACATCGGCTTCAGACGTCGAGCGACTCCTTGTAAATCCAAATTGGTTTTTATGAAATAATTTATTTGTATTGAAAAAAATTAACAATTGATCCAAAATTATTTTTTCAAAAATTTTATTGAGAGTAGGTAGTACAGAAATAGGTCTAAAATTAGCGGGGTTCAATGTACTACCAGATTTAAATAAAGGTATTACTTTACTATACTTCATTAAATCAGGAAACACACAGAATCGATACAAGTATTAAAAATAATAGCAAGATGAGGAGCAATTAAATTTATTATGGACGCAATAACTGTCACGGAAATCCCCCACAAATCTGCGGTTTTCTTTACATTAATGGTTTTGAAGTATTTTACAATATCTCGCGGTAATACTTTTTCAAATCTAAATTCTTTTAAACAGGTATTAACATTCTGTTTGAGTAGTGACTCGGCGACAGTTGGAGTATTCAATAACTCTGTTGTCAATATAGGAATATCAGTGAAATATTTCTCAAACACCGCTGCGACTTCTTGATTTGATTTAGTCAATTCATTGTTAATTTTTAATTGATAGTTTGAGTTACGAGTCAGGGGGTTTTCATGCTGGTCTACCTTTCCGGTGATCCTGTTATGGAATACGGGTACGCGACCCCGGCTCCCCGAGCTACTGTTATTCTCATACCTTTCCTGCCGAGATAACAGTATCCTTACACCTATGCTCCTACCCCCAAACTTCTTTTTCCTTTTCCCAAAATGGTAGCTTCCTCTACCAGCAATAGCATACCCAAAGAGGGTTGGTGTCAGGCAGGCGGCCGACTGTAAAACTTTTGCCAAATCCCATGCAGTAAATGAATAGTACGAGTTGTGGGACATATGACAGGGCTAGGGCGTACCCCGCAGGCGACGCGCAGGGGCAGCACCCGGCTCCTGTGGGAAGTGGGCAAGGGTTGTCGCACCTTACGGAGCGGGTGCGACGTAAGAGGCGAGCCCGGAGAGAGAAGAATGTCAGAGTGAGGTTTGCAAGCTGGAATATAGGTACGATGACTGGAAGAGGAAGAGAGTTAGCAGATGTTTTGAAACGACGAAGAGTGAATGTTGCCTGTTTGCAGGAAACAAAATGGAAGGGCAATAAAGCAAGAGAGATTGGGGAGGGATACAAGTTTTATTATTGTGGAAGTGATGGGAAGCAAAATGGAGTAGGAGTTGTGTTAGATAGTGGAATGAAAGAACGAGTGACAGATGTGAAAAGAGTAAATGACAGAATGATAGTTGTTAAATTAATGATTGAAAACAAAGTAGTGAATGTTGTAAGTGTGTACGCTCCGCAAACAGGCTGTGAAGAGAGTGTGAAAGAGAAGTTTTGGGAGGAATTTGATTGTATGATGATGGGAATACCTGAGCGTGAGGATGTTTATATGGGAGGAGATTTTAATGGACATGTAGGGAGAGTGAATGACGGGTATGAAAGAGTACACGGTGGATGGGGGTACGGAGTGCGGAACCGTGAGGGGGAAGTTCTTCTGCAAGCAGCATGTGCTTTCGACCTGGCTGTAGTAAACACGTGGTTCCAAAAACGAGATCAGCATCTTGTTACTTATAAAAGTGGCCACCACGCGACACAGATCGACTATCTTCTGATAAGACGGAACCAAATCAAGAGTGTAAAAAACTGCAAAGTGCTTCCAGGTGAAGACTTAGTATCCCAGCACCGAATCCTGCTGGCTGACATCTGCTTAACTGTTCGCCTCAACAAATATAAGGATCGTCCCCCACCCAAAATAAAGTGGCATTTGCTGCATAAGGAGGGGTATGCAAGTGAATTTAGAGAGCTAGTTGTAAACAAGATGATAGAGATGGGTGATATGGAAGGAATGAGTGTGAATGAGTGCTGGAAGGAAATGGCTGATTGTATCCGAAGTGTGGCAAGGAAGGTGTTAGGAGAAACAAAAGGGAAGCGTATGATAGATAAGGTTGGGTGGTGGTGGTGGAGTGAAAGTATTAGAGAAGTTTTGAGAGAAAAGAAAAATGCCTTTAAAGAATGGCAGAGCGTAGAAGACCAGAATGAATCCATAAAAGAAAGTAAGAGAGGGGCGTATAAAGAATGTAAGAAGAGAGCGAAGAAGGAAGTTGCTATTTGTAGGGCAGAGGCGCACGATAAATTATATCGGTCCCTTGAAAGCCCCGAAGGTCAAAAACGACTTTTTCAAATTGCAAGAGCGAGAGAAAGGAATGGAAGAGATGTTTCACATGTAAAATGTATAAAAGATGATTCTGGAAGGATTTTGACTGACGATGAAAGTATAAAGAAGCGATGGAAGGAGTATTTTGAGAAATTGATGAATGAGGAGAATGAATGGAATGGTATGCTTGAAAACCCACCAGTGAATATGGGCTTAGTGAGAGAAATTAGTGTGGAAGAAGTAAAAATGGCTGTTAGGAATATGAAGAATGGGAAGGCGGTCGGCCCAGATGGAATACCAGTAGAAGTGTGGAAGTTGCTGAGGGCGGATGGATGGAAGTGGTTGAGTTTATTTTTCGGTAAATTGTTGCAGGAAGAACAAATACCTGAGGAATGGTGCAGTAGTATACTGGTTCCCATTTTTAAAAACAAAGGAGACGTTCAAAACTGCAGCAGTTACCGGGGAATAAAGCTCATGTCACATACGATGAAAGTCTGGGAAAGAATAATAGAGAGAAGAATGAGAGAAGAGTGTGAGATAACACAAAACCAGTTCGGATTCATGCCCGGTCGAGATGCCATTTTCGCATTACGCCAATTGTGCGAAAAGTACAAGCGCGTGCATAAAGATCTGCACATGGTTTTTGTCGACCTTGAAAAGGCGTACGATCGGGTTCCCCGTGAGGTCTTGTGGTGGGCGTTGAAGATGAAAGGTATGCCTGGGAAGTATGTGAGGTTGGTCCGTGCTATGTACAGAGCATCCCGTACATGTGTACGATCTGCCGCGGGAACTACGGGCAGTATCGATGTGGCGGTAGGGCTGCACCAAGGGTCGGCACTGAGCCCTTACCTCTTCCTACTGATTATGGACGCTTTGACGTCGGACCTGCAGGATGAGGCACCCTGGTGCATGCTCTTTGCCGATGACATCGTGCTTGTCGGGGAAGAAGGCATCGAGGTACAGAGCAGACTGACGGGGTGACAACGGAGGCTGGAAAGTGTTGGCTTGAAGATCAGCAGAGCCAAAACGGCGGCGGAATAGATAGAGCTGTGCAGCATAGGATTAACGCAGGGTGGATGAAATGGCGACAGGTCACAGCCACAACGTGCGATCCCCGAATGCCAATAAGGCTAAAGGGGAAAATTTACAAATCGATCATCCGACCTGTCGTCATGTATGGAAGTGAATGCTGGGCCGTCAAGAAGAAGGATGAAAATAGACTGCATGCGAATGAAATGAGAATGTTACGATGGATGTGTGGTGTGACAAGGATGGATAAGATAAGGAATGAGTATATAAGAGGAAGCCTGAAAGTAGCGCCAGTGGTAGAAAAGGTGAGAGGAAGCAGATTGGCATGGTTTGGGCATGTGATGCGGAGGAATGAAAGTCATGTCACAAAACGAGTGTTGAATATGAATGTGGAGGGACACACGGGCAGAGGAAGGCCGAATAAAAGATGGATCGATTGTGTGAAGAGTGATATGAGAATGAAAGGAGTAAGTATGGAAATGACGGCTGATAGAGAGGAATGGAACAAAAAGATTTACTGCGCCGACCCCAGATAATGGGAAATGGTTTAGAGAATGATGAGTTTGAGTTACGAGGTTTTTCTTTACCGGTTTCGCTGTTAATTATACTCCACGTCATTTTAATTTTATTCTTAGCAGTCTTAATTTTATTACTAATATGTAACGATTTGGCTGTGGAGCAAACTGTTTTAAACGTTTTAGAATAATTTTTGACATATTTCTGGAATATGTTTTAGAAGTAAATATTTTTTTTAAATTCATTGCTTATAAAGGTAAATAATTCTCCATATAAATAGTCTGCACTGTTCTTATAAGAAAGCGATGGAAGGTTTTTTACCATATTACTTCTAAATCTCTCCAGGCGTTTTGCATTAATAGGAACAAACACAATTTCCTCAACTTCCTGTTTTTGTGCATATAAGGTAATGAAACCAGTTGTCCACAGTGATCTGAACTAAGTTTTTGAATTATTGATTTGTTGATTGGTACAACACCTGTAAAAATATTATCAATACAAGTTGCACTACACCCTGCAATACATGTAGCTTCAAAGAATAAATTATCAAGATTATAGGATTTGAACAAAGAGCAAAATTTAATACTGATGGAAGAAGTTTCCAGGAGATTGATATTAAAGTCTCCACACACTACAAGAGATTTATTCTGTTTTTTAAGCTTAACTAAAACTTCTTCCATAATTTTTTCAAAGGTATCATAATTTGAACATGGGGGTCTGTAAACACTGACCACAATAAGGTACTCAAGCTCAACACATGCCATTTCTACAATACGCTCAACAGAGAGGCTCACAATGTCTTTACGTTATTTACATGATAAGGATTTATTAGCTAATATTAAGGAGCCAACACGAATTTAATATCTCTATTGAACGAACTGACCACCTGGTGATTACTGAAATTAAATATGGAGCTGTAATCTTTCAACCAATGTTCATCATCATCATCATCATTACAGCCCTTCACAAGTCCACTGCTGAACATAGGCCTCCCCCAAAGAATGCCACAAAGCACGGTCCTGAGCCACCTGCATCCATCGACTTCCTGCATGTCTTACCAGGTCGTCACTCCATCTCGTGGGGGGACGCCCTACACTTCACCTACCGGTACGAGGCTGCCACTCGAGAACCTTTCTTCCCCATCGGTTGTCGGTTCTTCGAGCTATATGGCCGGCCCATTGCCACTTCAGCTTACTAATCCGTCGGGCTATGTTGGTTATTCTGGTTCTACTGCGGATATCCTCATTCCAAAGTTTATCACGCAGAGAAACCCCGAGCATAGCCCTCTCCATAGCTCGCTGAGCGACCTTGAGCTTCCTCATACGGCCAGAAGTGAAGGACCACGTCTCAGTTCCGTGAGTCATCACTGGCAACACGCACTGGTTGTACAATTTCGTTTTAAGGTTTTGAGGTATGTCTGAAGAGAAGATGTGTCGTAGCTTCCCGAACGCTGCCCAGCCGAGTTGAATCCGTCGATTGACCTCTCGGTCGAAGTTGGACTTACCTACTCGGACTATTTGTCCCAGGTAAACATACTCGTCAACAACTTCGAGCTTAGTGTTCCCAACAACTACCGGCATAGGTGTGACATGGACATTAAACATGATCTTTGTTTTGTCCATGTTCATCTTAAGACCTATCCGTTGGGAAACACTTTTGAGGTCATTGAGCATAGTGATTAGGTCCTCCAGCGATTCTGCAATGCAGCGGTGAAGAGTTTCGGGGAAATGACGTCACCCTGTCTTACACCTCTCTGCAATTGGATAGGTTTCGTACTCTGGTTCTGTACTCGTATAGCCATCGTAGCCCTACTGTAAAAGCACTTCAGCACTTCGATATACCGACAGTCAACTTGGCACCGCTGGAGGGACTGCAGCACCGCCCAAATTTCGACGGAATCAAAGGCTTTCTCATAGTCCACATACGCCAGACATAGTGGCAAACTGTATTCCTCGGACTTCTGTACAACTTGCCGAAGGGTATGTATATGGTCTATGGTGCTAAAGCCTTTCGGAAACCGGCTTGTTCAGGAGGCTGGAAGTCGTCAAGTCTGCGCGCGAAACGATTCGTAATGACTCTCGAAAACAGCACGTAGACGCGGCTCAGAAGGGAAATCGGTCTGTAGTTCTTCAAGAGGGCGTTGTCACCTTTCTTGAAGAACAAGACCACCGCACTTCTGCTCCACGCCTCCGGTGTAATGCCACCATGGAGGACGGAATTAAAGAGCCTCTGAAGTACTTCCAGTACCGGTCTTCCACCCGCTTTCAGAAGCTCCGCTGTAATTCCATCCTCGCCTGGGGCCTTACCGTTTTTAAAATGCTGGAGAGCCATTCTAATCTCGCTCAGATTGACGTCCGGGATATCTTCGGAATAGTGTCGGATGAGACTCGCTCTTGGATCGTTACTTACACTTGCGTATGGCTCCAACGATGACGTGTACAGCTGCCCATAGAACCTCTCAATCTCACTCAAAATCTCAGGTGTCCCGGAAACGATGCTGCCACATTCGGTCTTCAGCTTTGACAGTTGGCTCTTTCTGGCAGACAGATCTCTGGCAAAGACTTTGGAGCCTTGGTTCCGCTCGATCGCTTCTTCAATAAGAGCTGTATTGAAGTTGCGTAAGTCCCGCCGCATGCATTTGGAGATCTGTCTGTTCAGATGCCTGTATGCTGTCAAGTCTGTTGAAGAATGTAGCTTCATCTCCTGTCTAACAGCCATGAGATTAAGATTGTGATCGGAGAGTTTTTGTGTTCTCCTGCGGCGGGTCTTGCAGAACTTAGCTCCGACCGCATAGACAGTTTCCACGAGCTTGTCATTCATATCGTCCATTTCATTGCAGTCTTCTAGGCACTGAAAACGGTTTTGTAACTCGAGCTGAAAGGTTTCGGGACTTTGGAACAGAGCACGAGGGGGACGGAGCGTTGACTTCATTAGACGAGACCTCTCCAACTTAACGTTTAGGTTCAGTGTGCCTCTAACTATTCGGTGATCGCTACCAGTTTTCACCCTCGCGATCACGGAGACATCACTGAACAGTTGTCGTCTGGTCGTCATAATGAAGTCAATCTCATTTTTTGTCGAACCGTCGGGGCTCGACCAGGTCCACTTCCTGTGGGGTCGCTTCTGGAAGAAAGAGTTCATCATAGAGAGTCCCTCTTTCTCCATGAAGTCGGCTAACTGCTGGCCCCTTGGGTTCCGATGCCCTATTCCAAATTTCCCTACTTTCAGCTCACCGTTCTCTCTTGTGCCTAGTTTTGCATTGAAGTTTCCCATTAACACCGTATATTGGGTTTTGGAGGAATGCATGGCTCTAGAGATATCCTCATACATTTCCTCCACCTCTTCATCGGGGTGTGCCGAGGTTGGTGCGTAAACCTGTATGACCTTCAGCGAATACTGTTTGGTGATTCTGAGTATAAGGTACGCAACCCTCGTCGACACACTCCCGACCTTTACAACGTTGTTAACGAGAGACTTGTGGACGATAAATCCGACACCTCCTTGGGACAGATGGTCGCCCTCCCGGTGATAGAGCAAGTTGCCGGATTCGAGGATTACCGTGTCCTCCCCCTCTCTTCGGACTTCGGATAATCCTATAATATGCCAGCGCAACTTGTCTATCTCTTCTTCCAGCTCCACGATCTTCTCGTCAGTCCTCAGGGTGCGTGCGTTGCAAGTTGCCAGGTCGAGTCGTCTAAGGTGGCAACCGAACCTCCACCGGAGATTCTTAGCACCCCCTGCCCCGACGTTACCATGGTCGCCACCGTAGCCAGGAATAGCGGGGCCGCCGGGGACTGGGGGCCGTCTCTTCGTAACTTTCATCATGGGAGGTATCTTGCCATAGTTGCCACGCTTGGCGAGCGGGTTGGCAACCGCAGTTTTTTTATTGTAATTTTGGCTATTATCAGGAAGATGCTGCTGCCCATCTCCTGCCTGTTTCCCTATGTTGCCTTTTACGACACCCACGGGAGGATATGGGGTAGTGGATATTCTTGACCGCCACTACACGGCAATTGCCAATGTTCAGTAATACATAAAATATGAATAAGGTTACTATTTAAAAATAATTCAATTTCTAGTTCTTTGCCTAACATACCGTGTATATTTTGATGCACCAGGTTAATACAGTTTTTATTATTGCTATTTTGTGAAATTACACAGTTAAGTATTGTTGAAATTCTAAGGTATTTAAATTATCTTTGCTAGAGATTACCTCTATTGTCTTATTATCTACTTTACTACTCTTTCACTACTCTTTAATAAGGCTATTCACTGCTGATCATAGGCTTTCCCCATTGTTTGTGAAATAAGCCGGATATTTGCAGTAATGTCCACGCTTGGCAAGCGGGTGAGCAACCGCAGGTTTTAATTACTTTGCTGTGTTATCAGGAAGATGCCGCCACCCATCTTCTATTTCAGTTTTCTTCTGTCACCGT